ACTATTTATTTTACTTTTCAATATGTTTTTGTCAACTGGGTTACACATCCATCCATCCATCCATCCATCCATCCATCCATCCATCCATTTTACCTGATGGTACAGACTCGAAAACCAAATCATGTCATGCTCACCATGCGTTTAACATTTTTTAGGGTGAAATAAGGGTGAAGAAGACTGTGATGGACCCTGTAGTTGTGTCATCCCTCAGTTGTGTGCTGGGAGCGCCATCTTGTGTAGAATGCTCTCTCATTATTTTTGCCCAAGACAGGTGTTGCCCGGTTAGGTTCGATCTTGTTTGGCCATCGGTCAGATCTTGTGTGGGGTGGGGAAATGCAGAAACAGGAAAAGGTGATATTGTAGGAACTGTTTATTGAGAAACATGCCTGAACTCTGAATGTGCCGGGGAAATTTGCTCCCTTGCAAAATTCCAATGCTGATTTTTTTTTTGGCTGATTTATTGGAGTAGATTCATCAGTAATCTTCTAAATATGTGTAATTTTGTCAAAGGTCACTTGTGGATTTTATGTGGATGTTTTTTTTAAAATGAAAACTCAAAAATATAAATCAATAATGTGCTAATTTGAGTATTAGAAATAGAAATGAATATATTCTATACAGATTATATCCTCAGAATGCAACTGTGGCTGTCTAAAGTCACCATGGCCACAAAACTGAACCAACAATGCATTCAAAAAGAGCTTTGTTACACATCCTTTAATCAAAAACTTAACATTACACACATAATGAATCTGTGAATATATGGGTAATGCTGAATTACCCATGTAGGTTGGTCAAAATATTTAAACCCATAATAATTAATCAATTTAAGATCTAATATAAGGGAAATAAAGTATTCACCGTAAATTCACATATTTTTTCTCTACTCTACTTTTTAAAGGTTTGTGTAAAGAAAACTTTGACCTCTGACCTCTTACTGAATCTGTTTGTTCAGTTCATTGCACAAAGCCCTTCCCGATTTTAGCTTTTTGCTGAGGCTGAAGTTTAGCCCTGCTTTGGCTGTGTGCTGCACCTTGCCTGTGCTGACTTCTCTTCAGGTTTCTAAAACAATATTTTCCCACAAGAAATGTCTCTTGACCTTATTGTATCCTGCAGGAGTAATCACAATTAATCCACTGTAGATACTCCGAATAGTCCAAAGGAAACACGGTATATTTGACTTTGCCTTTCTTGGAACCTTTTTCAATGTTCTGAATTCTGTATTTAATCAGTATTTCATTAAGGTGATGAACTACATTTAAGGAGAAAAAAACATCAATTCTATCGTTAAAACACTCCATAAATCACTCATGTAAGTGTTTACATGTGGATAAAGGCAACTAGGCAGACTGGAACATCTGTCATGTGTGCATCTGGACATATTGAGAGGCATAAGACTGCCGTTTGGAGTTCCCACTGTTCTCCATGTCTGACTCAGACTCCTCCTGTTCCTCTGCGTCTGTCTCCTCTTCATCATATTCCTCCTGTTCCAGCTCATCCTCCACGCCTCTCTGATGATGCAAATTGCTGATAGACTGCAAATAAAGTTAGCACAGAATCGTAGGGTTAACAGTCTCCCCTTTAACAAACTTCTAAAGTTGTGCATAGCGTAGATACAGTGACGGAGACTGGGACTCACCCTTTTCTCTTCCTCTTTACGTCGGCTCTGACCTGCTGCAGAGGCTTTCGTTGAATTTAGGCCTGGTGTTTTTAAGGGGGTCTGAGGAGATGCGGGGTAATGGTTTCTGAAATGAGGGGAGTTGGTGCCAAAAACACTGTCCTGGGGGCCATCTTGAGAGTCAGACATCCTCGTTCGGGAGGTGAAAAACTGTAACCGAACAGATCGGATTCTCATATCTTTAATCATAGAAATAAACACCTTTGAAAGAGAGAAAACTTTAGTTTTCCTTTGATTTATAATTTTTTTTCTGACTTCATACTTTTCTAAAACTTATAAAATAGACAGTTTTAGATCCATTCTTTCTGGAACCCTTTGCACTGGTCTCATAGTGTAAACAATTTTTTACACATCTACCTTTAAATAGTCATTTTATGTCATTAGATGTGTTACTTGCACCCACTTACCTCTAAATCCTTCTGAGTGTTTATTGCCTCTAGGTTGCTGTATGTGTGTGAGAAGACTTCCAGTGCTTTAGCGTGGAAAAGCATCTCCACTGTGACAAAGTCTGTGAAAATTCTCTGAAAAAAAAAGATAGAGACAAGTGACTGTCAAAAGTCAATAGATAAAACTTTATCCATCATATATAGTGCTATTTTGTGCTTTTAGGGTCACAGGGGAGCTGGGAGGCAGCTGACACTGGGGGAGAGGCTGGATCCACCCTGGGACAGGTGGCCAGTCCATCTCAGGACCACACAGAGAGGACACTTATATCCACTCTTAGGGGCACTTAAGGGTCTCCAATCTGCCTAACATGCATGTTTTGACTGCTAGGAGGAGGCCAGAGTTCCCAAAAAAACACTGTTAGAATTTGGTTATAATTACTCACTTTAGCATAGTATGCTATAACATGATCTATGTAAATTACTGATTGTTGTATTCGTTATAGCAGTGTTTTTCAACCACTGTGCCTCGGCGCACTAGTGTGCCGCGAGTGATTGCCAGGTGTGCCGTGGAAAATCATCCTTTTTTTTTATTTAAATAAAATAAATAAATAATCATCCTATTTCACCTTATTGGTCTAAAATCTTGTTGATATGGACTTAATTATCTGCAAATAATATGCCATTTTTGAGTGTCTGTGCTGTTCTAGTGACTGGTGGAGTAATCATGTAATAATTCCTTATGACTAGATTTTGTACATAATTTTATATATTGAAGTGGACATGTTAAGAGCAATTTGAAAGAAGAAATATAAAATATGATAAAGATAAATTTTTGTTTATTTGATTCCTATTCAAGACACTTAAGATAAGAATAAAATAAAAACGTGGTGTGCCTCGTGATTTTTTCAATTAAAAAATGTACCTTGGCTCAAAAAAGGTTAAAAAACACTGCCTTATAGATCTATCATTTTGTGTTAAAGTCTCTGGCTGTGTCCAAAGATTCTGTTTTCTTTCTCTGATTGCTTTAGAACCACACCATTTGTTGTCACATTCCATCAGGTCAACACAAACACTCACCATTGTTACCACATTTCAATGATATCAGCATTAACTAGGACCCATGTCAGGGTTAGGGTTAGTAAGTAACCGGCCAATAAGCAGTGTCCAGTCCTTTTTGAGGGGTGTGCCCAGCCCAGAAGACAAAAACCCATGACACATAGAGTTCTGCCGACTGAGACCCGGAGAGAGTTTTATATGTGAAAAGCCCAGCGCTGATATACTTAACCGTGTCCAATAAATGTTATTTTTGTAATTTTGGTCTACTCTGGTATATTCTCAGGTTTCCGTACATACAGGGAGAGAACTGAGTGTGTGTAGTGTAAAGCGCAAAGTGTGAGACTGACTTTGATGCCCTCTAGTTTTTGTTTCTGGAACTCTGTGATGGTCTCCTCCAGTTGTCTAATGCTGTTCTGGACGTTTGTGGAAGCCTTCTGTGCAATGACCTCCGCCTGTAAAATAACAGGAATACGCTGTGACAAGGATTTGACTCCAGTGTCCACATAAGGTCAGTTACATGAAGGCATTCAGGAAAATTTACATACCTGGGACTGAAAGTTGTCATCAAGAAAATGGTATTGCAGTCTAAGGTTTAAAACAAATAAAACACTTGCAAGTACCAGATTTTTTATATTTTTCAGATATTTGATCAGCATATTGCAGCCATTTTATGAGTATTTACAGTAAAGTAGATAATGGTAATATTATTATGATTAAGATATCGATGACCCCCAAAGATATACTTTCACTATGGACAGAATAAAGCATTACATTATTGAAAATTGAATTTCAAACCAGTGAAATTCAAAGTTTAAGCATCAAAATGATATATTTTCAAAGTCACCTGTAGTGGTGAGACAAGTCTTTAATTAAATTTAAGTCTGTTTAAGAGATTTTGAACTTCTTGGCTTCCCCCCAAAAGTGCCGCTTTTTGACACAGAGTGCTGATGAAGAGAAAGGACAGAAAAAAGAAAAGAAAAAAGAAACAAGAAGTAAAATGCAAAGGATACAATGCTTTGTCGATCAGCAGGGTTCCTCCTTCGGATTTTATCAACTTTCTGTAACTCCTTCTGCTCTCTGTTCAGGTCAGTGCTGAATTTCTTTAGATCAGTCTGTACAAAGGATGTGCTTTGATTAAATTAAAAGTGCTAAATGCTCAAAGTTTTATTTGACTTGATTACCAAAAACTATGCGTCTTTCTTTGCTAATATGCTGCTTTGTGTTATTTAGCATTGGCAGCAGTCCTGCCCAAAGACTCTAATATCCATCTGTACTCATTAAACACTATCTGTTGTTACATTTATCATGTTGCCTTTTGGGATTTAACTCACCCTTTTGTTCTTGATTACCTCTCCATAGACTTTTAGAGGATCAACAACTCTGGTCTCCAGCCTCTCTACCTGCCAAAACATTGTTCAGATTACTGAATGAAACTGATGCATTAAGGTAAAGAGTTTTCATACCTGAGCCTGTCTATAATCCTGAACCATGGCCAGATCTTCGGCGAGGATTTTGAGGCCGATCTGAAGCTCAGGATCCTCCGTGCTGGAGAAGTGGAAGAGCTGGGCCACCAACTGGTCCGCCTTGTCTCTGAGCTTGGCCGTCTTCCTGGTGTAGGAGGCCAGGAGGGAGCAGAGCTCCCCCATGTTCTTCTCTGCCACTCTCACTGTCTGCTCCATGCTCCTCACCTGCACATCTCTGAGGAAACACAGCACGTGCTCCGATTAAAAGAAGAATCACCGAAAGATATGTGGCTATTCAACATGTGGATAATGAATTACTTTATAACCAAAACCAAGAACATTTTCTAGAGATTCAATTATGTAATTAGAACAATTTAAATGAGATTTCTCAGAATGTTTTGACGTGTCAAAGTTGTACCTGGAAAGCGGACTGTTCATGTTGCATTTGTTTTACGCCCTGCTTCTCCTCAGCTCTGCTGTTTGCTCACCTGTGCAGAGCAACAGAAGACCGTCGCCATGGCAGCACAGACAACATCAGAGGAAGGAGTGTAAGAGCTACTGTTTGCCACATGGTGTCAGCATATTTGCATTAACACAACAACACCATGAATCTTTGTCATGAATCTTTGGATTTATTTTTCACAATTAACGCCGTTGTAGAAAAACTAACCACTGATTATAATATATCAAATTCAAAGACTTTATAGTCATAATTGAATAATATGACATGCAGCATCAGGGAAAGTGCAAGTGAACATATATTATATTCAGAGCTGCCAAAATAACTCGATATCTCAGAATAATGGATTAAATATATAATCCATATTAAATATGGATTGTTGAGTTCTGTTCTTGTTGTGGGTTGTATGCAAACGAAATTTCGTTCTTTTTGAACATTGTCTAAGTCTAAATGTCTAAGTCTAAGTCTAATACAGACCTACACTCACAGCCATCATTGAACTGTCCTGTCCGTCTTCATGGTGAAATGTTCAGGATTTTGTCATCTATCTTTGACAAAACATACAAGAAAACGTCTGCCTTCGCTTTTGCAAAGACAGATGCCTGCTAACCGCTGGATGGCATTTCCTTTTGGAGCAATTTCTCACTGAAAGAGATGATACTGGAGACTTTTGGAGACTCATACTGGAAATAGATCGATAGGGCTGCAATACAGAATTGTTTATATTGTGGAGACGATTAGGTTATTTTTATATACTTGTTTTCTATTTGATTTTATTCCAAAATTTTGAAACTCTGGCTTTAAAAAAAACAAAAAGAGGTAACCAAGAACAGAAAAACAAAACAAAACAAAATTCTGCTACGTGAAATATTTATTCTTTTTTAATTTTTTATTTGATTATCCACTGTAAAGTTTATTAGGTGCACACTACTGGGTTTGTGGTGTCTTTGAATGGAGGAACTGTCTCTGCAAACCACCCGTCCCAGAACATTGTCTCCTCCAGTTAGTATCTATCATAGAATTATGTGTGTATATACAAACGTATATATACATATAAAAACACAGGTGGGTCATGTTGTTTGCTATGTTGCAGAGAAATGTTCAGATTCCTTATTCTGTTAGATCTTCTTCAGCGAAAACAGTCAGTTTTTAGACAGTATTTGTGTTATTGCAGGGAAAAGATAGCGTCCTTCTCTGTGTGAATAATGGAGGCAGAGTGAGGGCTGGCCCTGTCTCTGGGAGAACAAAGCCTGAGCCGGGAACATTTGCTTGTGTGGAAGAACCCGCACCTTGCACCTGGCATTGGGAACTTTTCTTTTTTCAATAAAGACGATTTGTCATTTACCATAGTTGATCTTTCTCTCCCTGTTTCCGGGAGACCTTGCGGGATTCAGCCTTGAGACTGGCTGATGGAGTCATTCAGCGCCGTTTCCACAGAAACAGGATCCCATTTTATATATTTTACTTAAATCAGAGCAACCACCCATTCCTCGCACATGGTAAACAAAAAAAAACATGATCATAGTATGTTGGTGGTGTGTGAAAGGGTGAAAATGTACTCTTAAAACGCCAGTAATTTATACATATATTAATTTCCTTTTCGTTACATCTATTCAAAAAGCATTCAGTTGCAACATAAGTTCTTCAAAGACACAATCCAATTTGAATATACCATAACCTGCACACAACTGTCCACAATAGAAAGAAACCAGAAATGTTGCCAAACTACAATGATGCACAAAATTGGCTATTTCGTACAAAGCAAAACAAAACAAAAATATTGTTCCCGTGGTTAATAATTAATCGTGCTGTGTGACCATATTATGCTGCCTCAACAGATGACAGAAATTCTGAGTCAACCATCTTTGCTATACAGGTCACATGAGCATGACTATGACTCAGTTTGATCTGTTTATCTTTTAGAAACAATTAAAATCATTTACAATATTTAAATGCCAGCTCTTTGTTGTGAGATGTCATGTTTTAGATACACTACAAAGCAATAGAAAGTGCATTCTGTATTCTAAACTTTTTTTTTTACATGTAAAACCAAGCATTTTGTAAATTTATTACAGCTAATATATTTGGTTTGTTCCTATTTAAATTAAACGACATGGGCATCAACCCACTGGTAACTAGTCCAGGATGTACCCTGCCTTGGAAAAAAAAACCTTATGAGAAGTCAAATGGCAGCGTTTGACCAAGACGTCACTGAGGTGAACACAGGAACACAATATTGTTTGAACTCGGTTTAGTTTATTAGTTTAGTCACCCTTCTTTTTTGTACAATAGACAGCATCTCATACTTCTCTTGATACAGTAATCTCTCAGCATCTCATGTCTTTCACCTTTCAAACCCTTTGGGTCATGTCCATCTGGTGTAAACCACAGGAGCACATCGTCACAAGTAAACACACACTTCACAACACAGCCTGCAACAGTACACACACGCAACATGCTCAGTAGCACGACTCCTTAAATATTTCACTCCAACCTAACCAACAATAAGAAAACAAAAATAAACTAACTTTTTTAACCCCCCCTTTCTCCTCAGGCCACTTGGTTAGTTCCAGCCAACCAATTAAACACACCTGGCCCTAATCAGCCAAATCATGAGAGCACCAACTCAGGGAGGGAGAGGCAGAGAGAGGTTTGGTTTGCTTCTATATTTATGACATATATGTGCTTGTTTCTTTCTTTTTCTTAGCTTGAATACTTTTTCTTAGCATTCTGTTTAGTCTGAAACTTCATCAAGTGCCAAATCTGTGAAATAATCAGGTTGCTGATGATAAAGTGCAGATACCAGTTTAAAAAGAACATGTGATTAAAAGGAATCCCCCAAAAATGTAACTGTGCCTTAATATAGAAACATCTAAATGTAATGTCCAGGTTCTTCCTCTTCTGCTTTCTTTGGTGTCAAACGTTTGAAATTAGGTATTCCTTTACACCCAGTGTTTAATTAAACTTTTTCTCTCCTTCTTCACAGCTCTGGAGAACCCTGATGGTGTTGACGGTGGTTATGGGAGGAGTGGCCGTCATCGTGCCTTTTATGTGCAGAGGGGGATGGAGCCAGGTAGGCCTGTCTGTGTTGCTTTCTTGGTACCTGTCCACCTGTCCCACCATCTGTCTGGCTAACACGACAGATTGTGAGACAATGGCTAACATGGCCGACGCTTTCACTCGGCAAATATGCACCATCGAAACAGCTTTTGCTCATTGTTGTTTTTTAATTACTTTTAATAAGTAAAACTATGAGATGTCATTATATTGGCTGATTGAAAAGGGATATAAAAAAAAATGTATTGCATTCTTTGAAGCGGAAGACCGTTCCTCCTTGGATCTAGAACCAATTATATTGATAATATAACTTATATTGAATATATGAACATCACCTTGAATACCGTTCTTTTGCAAAACAGTTCTTTTGAACACGTATGAAACCCCACTGAACAACACGTTTCCCTTCTGGGAAGGCTTTAACAGAGACTTCAAACAGATAAAAAGAAAAAGCCTTGATCTCACTCTTCATTATCTGTGGAGCAACTTCATTAAATACTTAAGATACTACTTCTGTTAACTGTTCGCTTAGTCTTTCCAGCTGATTAAATGTTTATTTTTTAAGGTTTACGTTTCTTTTTTCATTCAGTCCCAGGTTTTATATTAAAAACATTTAATCATAGTGAACTTTTTCAAAAAGATTAGCATCTCTGACTAAATGCTCTTTTTATTTTCTCAACCTCTGGTAGATTGGAAACATTAATTGGATTTAGATTTAGAAAGAAAAAAGAATACGCTGGTCTGGCGACCTGTGGACAGGCTCCAGAAAAGCCTACTTATGCAAAAGCCTTGTTCACATCAGTGTTTAATGGCTGTGTTATACCTCATCTTGCAACAAGAACTAGACTCAGATGACTGTTGCTGTGTGGATTCTCACATAACATAATTAAGAAACTAAAGTGTGCTGTTAGTGAACTTTCTCTTGGGCATTGTTACCACACTGATGTACTTCTACATTGGAAACAAGTATTGTTAAAAACGTGGTGTGTTGCACCATTCTCCCACAGATCATGTTCTTGCTAATAAGCTTCTCTCCTGTGAAATTATTTTCTGTTTGCGTGCGTGTTCTTAGAGCTGTTCTCTGGTACTGTAAGCGTGCAAATGACTCAGATGTGTTAGTCCCATGCTGTTCCGCGATGTGATTGTCACAGTGTTGAATTTGACCAAACATTTCTGTGTGACTCACCACAGACTGTGCTTGGCAGGTTTTCCTACCCACTGAGTCATTTCCTTCGAAAAAGGATGAGCCTTTATCTTAGTTGGGTATGTATGGGTTAGGGTTATAATGTGGGGTTGAATTTTATTTCTATTTTTTTATGCCACCACTGCTTTGTGCCGTTCTATACAGCATCAACAAAGTCCAGTTCTTAGCTGAGCTTCCACAGCTTTTCAAAAGACACATTTGTGGAAACAGTGGGCTGTGAATATCAGGAGAGATAATTTTATCCTCACAAATCCCTCCTGAGTGTGTTAACTGCTAGAGTTTAGCTTGTATTCATCTTAGAAGACAGAACTGAGAAGGATTAATAACTTGTTATATGTCATACGTAGTGTTGTATTTACCTATGGCCAAATTTCCCATCTATTGTCAGACTCATTTTGAAAAGCATTGTAAATTGTTAATAAATAATAAAAACATTGGACATGAGATGTGATCACCTCTCTGCTTTTCATACCAGCTCTCCTCTCATTTTTGGCAAGCTTTTCAGCCAACACAAAGTTTCCCATTCTAAACACGTCTTCCAAAGCCAGTTATGCTTTCTGTTAGAATATCTATAAATCCTCCAGATGCCACAAAAAGGTCATCACAGGGTGTTACTGGCATTTTGAAAAATGTTTTTCCTAGCACCAAGGTTTCCTGATACCGAATAAGTTTGGGTTGGTATCCTTATCACAGGGATGTGCAGCAAAACTGACATTCTTGGGTTGAGAAAATGTCATTGGAACAGAAATGACCATGTCATGTCAAAGATGTAATATCACATTTTATAGTTTTAGATGCTTTGAGCTTTTTCAGGGAGACAATTCTCCGACTCCAGTCATTTGAGCAGATAGATATGTTCTTGGTCATATTTTCTGTTTGAACGGCTGTTTTCTAGGGATAACTAAGCTAAAAACCACGCACCATCTCTTCCAGTTTTCTGTTTTCCTGGGTTGTGCAGACCTACTGCTAATGATGCATTCCAGGTCTAGGAGTTTCCTTTATTCTAACTTTTTGGTGTCAGATGTGTAATGAGTGAATGTGTTTGAACTTTCTTTTCTTCATAATCCTAATTTATCCTACATGTTTATCTGACAGCCTGGTGCTTTATCTTTTGATATTTCTCCCTGTAGGCATTTTACCTATTTCTTTTGAAACCATGCGTACACTGTTTACATATTTTTGTCTTTATATATTTTAAGCAAAATGTATTATTAATACTGAGTGTCACACAACAAAGGAAAAAATGCAAATCAGCACAAAATAAGATTTTCATTCTATGCACATTTCATATTTGGATGATACGATAAGACTTTTTAGACTACATATTTTGTTTGTAAGATGACCTATTGGGGCAGACATCCTCTTTTACCAAACACTTACTAAATGAAATTATTTTATCCAAATAAACAAACGGAGCCAGACAAACAAAGACAGGCAACATCATTCATTTACAGTTTATTGTTGCACGAATCTCTTAAATACACGTTTTGAGGAATACATAGTGAAAGCCCCTGCATATTTAATCATTGAGAGCCTTTCGGCCCCCAAAAGCCACACCAGGGATGATTCACAAAATGTTTAAACATCAGCAAGCAATACTTAAGATTTGTTAGCGATACTTATACAAGCAAACATACATAAAAAGTAAAAAGCTGCTTAGGTCAGTTAAATCTAAAGTCAAGACAGTACCTAGCTCTTCTAAACTGCTTTTCAGAGTAGCTGGAAAAATCAAGGTTATGTAAATATCTTTTAAATGTTTTTATTCTGTCTTCATATAGAATACATTTCTCTTAAAATAACATTTACATTTTGGAAAAAAAGAAAATATAATCTGAACTTCATAGAGTAATATAATATAATTCAAATCAAATACTGTGTGAAAATGTGAATTAGAAATGTTCACACCCAAATTCACATTCAGCTGTTTTTTTCATTTTGATCTCATTGGCGTTCCTATTCAAGACATCTCTATTTACTAAATGCTCCTGAATAGTTTTATAGTGCTAGTTCATGCAGAAACTTTAAAAGTGCATTTAAGTAACGCTCAGAGACATGATTGGAAAAGATTTGTATCCGCGTCCTTCTGACTAAATACTTTTTTTTTTTGTGAAATGTGTACAAATAGAATATTATGTACTTTGTGTTTCTGCCCATCCAGCTCACCCAGCAGTTAACCAGAAAGCAAATTATGAAAATATATTTGATATAAACCAAGCAACATACAATAATATTGTTTTCCATCAAGACACAAAGTGACACCGTGTTTTCGAATATGATTTACATCTGTAATAAGTCAATTTAAGCAAAGAATGGATCTACAATACGTTTGTCAGAGACATTCAGGTATATCAGCGTAAGCCAGCAACTGCTTTTAGTGCACAGTCTACAAACATAACAGTACATGAAGGACACATCTATACCCTGTGGGAAATGCGTCCTGTGCAATCGTTGATTGTGTCCACGCCCACCGCACTTTAAAGGATGGAGAACAAAATCCCACCCCTTGCTTAAAATGCTGGGTAAAAGTTTGGCTAGTCCTAAACTCAAATCCAGATTGTTTTTTTTCTTTGTGATATTCTATATTTTTCTATTTTTTTTTTTTTTTCAAATTTCCAAATGTCTTCAACTCGTCTGATACTTAGTGTGAACTGCAAGTGAAGCTAAAAGTGTTGCGCATGCACAGTAGAGGATGCATTTGATCTGGGTCACTTCAGAGTAGCCTTAATCTTGTTTTCCTTTGTTGAACTGTAGGTAAATCCGTCCTAATTCATACTTTCAGTGAGATTTGTCACCAATACTTGTGATGGTACACCATTAGCTATGTAATTGCTCTTTATATTTACAGTTTATCAAAGTAATATCAACAGTTTCGGAATATATAGAGAAACAAATAATTAACACAAGGTATGCTGCCTGACTTGGTTTTATCTAACATTTGACCATCTTTTAGCTCTTTGTTTTGCTTCTTTGGTGTGCTTTTTAACAGTTGCTAATTAAAGCCCTCCCATCATCTTCACACTGAGTTGATTGTCCTCCACCCAGAAATAATCCCATTGGTATTTTGTCAACACAGGCTAAAGAAACCTTCAATTAGTGAGAAGATTTATTAACTTCCTGTGGCCAAGAGATGAAGTATATGTTAAGTGTAAAAGAACCCCTCTGTGGGGAATAACATATGAAGGATGTCTATTCATGAATGTGTTTTAACCCAAACCAATTCATTTGAGATTTTCTACCTGAACCAAGTGATATTAAAAGGTGCTAATTTAACAAGGAAGTCACAAATCTTCTTTATAAGACGATCTGTTGACAGGCTATTTAATGCCTTTTCAGTTTTATTTTGAACACAGTACAAAAAGATGAGTTAAAACACTAAAAATATATTAAAAACCTCAAGTCATAAGGATTTTGTGGTTTGTTAAAAATAAAAATGCTTAAGAATGACTTGTGCTCTGTTGTGAAAACTCAAATGTGAGTATAAAAAAACAAGTGGAATGGTTATTTCAATGGGAGCACGTGTACCACGTGGATCAAACCCCCAAAGAACTGTACATGTTTAACTGCAGCCACAGTGGAGAGCAGCAGCTAAAACTCCATCCATATTCTTCAGGAGGCTGTGCAGACCAAGCCCTAAATCTAGTGACTATTACAATCAGCTTTACAGAATCATGACGCCAACCTTTCACATTAAATCTAACACACTGACATGTCATTACATCCAGCCTGCCATCTGTTCCACTCTGGCTTGCTTTATTGCTTAAACTTAATTAAATAATTTTGGTAACAAAAATGTAATGAATATGAATCTTTATATATATTTATGAATAGGATAGATGGGATTGTGGTAGCTTCAGACTGATAGATGATAGTTCTGTTTCACCTGTTGCAATCCAGTTACTGATGTGGAATTCAGTTTGCTGTTAGATACATGATGGAATATACTGCATGCATAAATGCATGCTTTAATAAAATGTTAAATCACGGAGAAGCTCAAGACGGTGAGACAGAAATCTCTCCATCCGTTAACATATTGAGAGACTATGCAGAAACCACTGCATAGGTATGAATGCTCACACAGGTCATTTGCATAGGCTAGAGGGGCTGCTCTATGTCTGAAAACGCACAAACCAAGCCTAGCAGATCAGTAACCTTTGTGGCACGACAGCACAAACCAAATGACCAAATTGAAGCCCTGTCCACATTCACGTTGGGCAACACATCAGAAAACGCTGAGGGGAAGCCAACTTTAAAACGATAGCGAGATATATTACAGACTTTTATTGAAAACAAAGGGTGAAAAACAACACTGATTCACCACTACATTAGCGTAAGTGCTGATGTTTCTTATTAGAATATATTCATTACATTGAGAAATATGTTCATCCTTTACAGCCATCAAAATATATCATTTTTTTCTAATTGAAGTTTTTATGCCCCTTGAACATTGTGACAGGGGGCAAGGGTCAACCCTCACATACGCATGTTGTTGTTTAGGAATAAATCTTTATGCATAAGCTGATAACCCATGTACTCATTCATACACTGACTTGACAGGATTATTGATCTTATTCCATGGCTTCTAGCCGGTGTCTAAATAATAAGATTAATAAATTCATTGAAATTTTGTGTGAAAATTTAGTTAGCTTTTTTGGGGGTTACTGTATCAACTGTTTTTAAAAATGTGAAATTTTGATTTTTTTTTGTGTATAATATGATAGTATTTTTGTATAAATAAAGTATCAACTGATATATGTATACTGATATCGATTCAGAAGTTATAGGAAAATGCCAAACTTTAGTTATCAGAAAATATGATTCAATCCCAGAATATTCAGTTATTTAAATCCATTATATAAAAACACTGTGCTTTAGTTGCAACTTGAATCGCCCGAACAAACGGGCATAAGCATTCACACCGCTCTCCCCTAAGCATCACAGAAGCCGAGTTTAGGTTTTGCCACAACATGAAACGACTAACTGCAACAACGCGTCTAACTTGAATGAGAACACTGATGACGGAGGCCTTAAAAGGACAAACTGCTGACGTGGTCCCCTTCAGTCGTTTTTGGTGAACTCTCCCGCCTCCCAGCGTAGAGCCATGGCACTCTTGCGTCTTCCTCCAATGTAGGCCTCGGGAAACTGAAAGACAGTGTACTTTCTAAAGATTTCTGAAACATGTCCTCGGTCACCTAAACCCACTCTAGCTTTCATCATCTACCTTTTTATCGGTCAGACATTCAATTTCAGTGAGAGTTTTGTTCTTTTTCTTTTCAACTGTTATATAATAGGCTTATTATGTTGGACCTTGTACTATTTACGCAGTATCTTTTTCTTTTTTCTCTTTAATACAGCTGCAGTTTTAACTGCATGCACTTTTCTATATCAAATTAAAAAAAGTGCTGTACAAGCAGTCCTTTACCAAGGATGCAACACCATAGACTGGTGCAGAGGGCATGCATTAAAAACCATCTGAGTGTTTGCTACTGTGATTTGTTTCTTCTTTCAACACCTTAATACACTCGGCAGACAGCACAAAAACTCTTTAGTTATCAGACGTTTCACAAAGCCAGATATATTCTCTTTAATCTTTATGGGAATATTTGTTGTAAAATAAGTCATTCTTTAAGAACTTGGTTATTCTATTAAAATCGCATGACAACAATTGTGTGAGAGTTTGCATTCTCTAGTTGACTGTTAACAGTATTTCTGAATAAATTCATGACAATCTTGAAAACAATATTGTCAATGTCTTAAGAAAATGGAGGATAAAAAGAAATCTAAGGGGATGTGGACATACAAAATAGTAGTAGTTTCGTCAAATATTTTTGTTCTTAACAGAATGGTTTGAGTTTGTCAGCATGAATATCAGTTCAAATGTAAATGGATTGACAGCTACAGTTTGGGATTTAAAAATTTGGGAGGAACTTACTCTGTGATCACAGGATAAGGCAGATCGATCCATCTTGTAGGATGTTTTCATTGGTGATGAAGGAGAAGACTTGCACTTCATTGGCACATCTGAAGATAATATGAGCAAATCATAAGAGGATCAAAATCTTTTTTTTTTTTTTTTTTAATGAAAGTACTTTTTTTAAAATTCTTTTTTTTTCTATAAACATACCTGAATTATCAAACGTCAGCGTGTTCATACGATTGGACAACGCTTTTTCTGTACTTAAACTGTCTTTGCCATACAGATTTGCCCTCTCTTTCCTCAGCTCTTCCTCCCTCTGCTTCACCATCTTGATTTCTTCATCCACCAGTGATATTGTGCTTCTTGAGCGCAGCTTGAAAAAGGGGTTGTTTAAGAACATTTTCTCCTGCGGCTGCTCGCAGGCCTTGTTGAGGGAGAACTCTGAGGCACTGCGGATGATCAGGTTGGAGGTCTCCAGGATGATGAGGTTGGAACTGCCGTCTTCAGGGTGCCAGTCGCCGGAACGGGTCGGTTCGTTTTCTCTGCCATGCCTAGGGCTGGAGATAAACTCATTTCGTGGATCCAGAATAATAACATTGTTAGCTGACATTTCATGTTTCAGAGGTTCTTTAGTGGGGGAGGAGGTGATAATGAAAGATGGTGTCAGTGGAGTGCTTATGGACCTCGGGATGTTTCGGGATGGAGCACAATCAGTTGACTTGCCCATCCTTGAAAGCCCCCTCTCTCTTTTGAAATTCTCTTCCCTCTCGATTGATAAACGGATTTCTCTATCAATTGGCGTTTCTGGATCGTCGTAAGGGGACCTGTAACTTGAATCCCCCAGCCCTGAGTCCTCTGAGCAAGGGCTGAATTGGGTGTGAAGGTAATCCCCGACCAAATTTAGGCTTTCCAGATCGGTTCCTCTTTTGTGACACCTTTCGATGTTGCGAACTGGCGTGTACATGAAGCTGTGGCTACCGTGGAGATTTGGCTGCCTTGTTGTAGGAAGGATAATCTTGTGTTTCATTTGCTCCTCCATTTCCCGCCACTGCTTTCGAGCCAGCTGGAAGTCCACGTGCTCGGTACTAACATTCTCGCTCTTTGTCTCCTGTATCACACAGAAGTCCTTTGGGAGTTTTTTGGTGGGATCACCACTCATGCTCTGCTGGTGGTTTGTGTGGTTGTGATTGGCGTCTCTGCCATTTTCACCCTCATCTTCAGAAATCTTGGACAGGGCTTGAAGGCATAACGGGTTATACTTGACCTCTTGTGGAGGTGTGGGAAAAGAAACGGTGTCCTCGGGCTGTTCCAGAACTTCCGTTGCTTGGGGGACATCAAAATGAACCTCTTCAAAGTTATTACCGTCTTGCTCATCGAAGTCGGTCAACTCAACTTTCTGTACAAAGAGTTCCTGGGCGCTCAACTGAAGACTATCCAAATAAGAATCATCATCCTCTCTATTTATGGAGGAGGAGAATATCGTCCTCCATTTTTCATCTGCGTCGCTGTCAGATGAATTGGCTTCAATCTCAACTCTAAGGCATTCATCAATTTCATCAGGGTTGTGACAGGACTCGTTTGATACCTCTGACATGGCCTCTTCTCTTATGTGTTGCTCTAACATGGACTCTTCTGTAAAATGTGGCTCAAATGAGATATCATCAACCTCCTCGCCTCCATCTGTGTGCAATGCGAGATTTTGACAGTCTTCATTTCCAGGATTTAGAATATCATCCCCTGCCTCAAGCTCTGGCTCGCTATATAAATCTGGTTCAGAATTGTGTTCTGGCTCAGAGTATTCCTCCTGCTCTGGTTCTTGCTCCGGTTCTGGGTCTTGCTCTATCTCAAAGTAATGGTCCATGTCAAAGTCTCCCTTTGGTTCTGGTTCTGGTTCTGGTTCTGGTTCAGGTTCAGGTTCTTGTTCTTGCTCCGGCCTCGTGTCCACCTCATATTCTTCCTCAGGCTCTGGGCATTTTTCTGGCTCCGGTTCTTCTGTGGGATCAGTACTCTGCTCTGGCTCAGGTTCAGGTTCAGGCTCAGGATCCTGTTCTAGTGTTTTTTGCCTCTTCTGGTGGGCTTCGCTCTCGTACACGCTCTCAACACTGGAGGGCGTGTCGGATACTGACGAAGTGACTGACTCATTCCTGTTGAGCTCCTCGTGCCCTGGCTCCAGTATCAAACTTTTCTGTTGATCCTGAGGTGGGACTTCAGCGCAAACACTGGCCTCAGAGCAGCTGGACCTGTCCATCTCACCGGTTAATATGCTGGCAGGTGGGGAGCAACCCGATTCCTTCTGGGAACCTGATGAGTCTTCCTCTACACAAACTAGCTCATCACATGCACTAATATCCTTCCCCTCCTCAGGTGAATCGGCCACAGCGGCCTCCTCTTCACAGTCCATCACCAGCTCTGATTGTTCAGCCGTTTCCATGACGACAGGGATGAAGTTGTGATTCTCAGTTGTGCTGGGGCTTTCTTTCAGTTCTTTTCCATCTGCCTCTCTGTCCTCTGAGATGGCTTTCTGAGGAAAAAAAAAGAATAAAGAGAAGAAGTTCATCCACTGGGAGTACGAAAAACAATTGCTTTACTACATTTCTGACATGAATCTCCTTCCACATGGTATGGAGTGAGGTTTCACTGTACTATATGTTACTAAATTATTTAGTGTGTAATGTATACTTTTCTTGGCATTTTTGTGTTCATCTATTGGGAAAAAAACATTTTCATATTAAGATAAAGAGTAGAAGAAGGTAATCTGAGCACAGTCAGATAATGAGCGTTGAGGGGCCCTTCATGGAAATCCTTCAACCCCTTGATGAAACTGTCTTTACATGATATCAGTCAATTGAACCAGCAGAAAGGTTTTCGATTTTTCGAGTGGGATTTTTATACCGAAAATCGTATTATTCGCAAAAATCTTTGTCAATGATCATTTGGGTCAATATGACTTACGCTGAGAGCACTAGACCGGTTCAGAAACACTCAAAGCAGTTATTCCCACCAGCATAACTCAGCCGAGTCTTTTCGATAGGCAGCGAGTGCTCTAAAGGTGTCCACGGGCAGCGCTTACATAATCTCCACCATGCAGAGAAACGTTTTCAGGTGTATCTGTGAGGAGCAGTCAGGAAAAAGGGGGGGGTTGCATGCTGTTGCTATGCTGAGTGAATGTTTCCCTAAGTGGGTTTTGTGCAGAAAGAGCACATCAAAGGCAGCTGAATTAAAAAGATATTATATCAACACTTATGTAAGACTGCAGAACTGGATTCACCTCCCACACAATGTAAGATGAGTGTCCCTGCTAGATTAGTTGAAGCCCCAATACCTTTTTACTCTTGGACACATGCACACAAGTGCATTCACTCAAATGTGCACATACTCGTAGTTGCATTGCTACTGTCTTTGATAGATATTACTATTTTAAAGCTGTACCAGAAAAGACAATGGATCAAATCTCCAGATGAGTATGAATGTGTACATGGAGAAAAAAAAAATCAAAACTGTAGAGACTGTCAATGTAGTGCGGGGTAAATTATATGTGTCATACTTTTACAAAAGAGCTTTGTAACGCATAATGTGCAGGAAAAAACTATAGGATTTATTTTTTTAAATTAAATTAAAAAGCTTGCCAGTCGGTGTCTTAAAACTTAAACATTCCAAGATGGAAAAGACGTAGAACTGAGAACTGAACCATTACCTGCATTAAGAACTTTGCACAAACACGGTGAGTTTGCAACATTTCAATGACATGTCGTATTTATCTTGAATAGCTAAATTTGGCTAAAAGATTTACCGGCTATGAGCGCTTGACAAACATGACCAGAATATGGAAAAAATATTATGTTATGTTTTTTTTTTCCCAACTTAAAGTTAAGTTATTTTTACTCCAATGTTCTGAAGAGTTGATCTTACAAAGACAAAGGCTTTTGACTCGTTGGTTAAAGTTTAACTAAATGATGCTCTGAGATGCGAATCAATGTTATGCAAGTCATAACGGCTTAGCTATCCAGAAGAAGTTCAGAATAGAGCCGCTGCTCCTCCGCATCAGAAAGATTCAACTGAGGTGTTCCGGGTGTCTGGTTAAGGTGCGTCCTGCTCATTCCCCAATGGGGGTTTTCCAGGTATGTTCTACTGGGAGATCTAGATGGAGGATTATGTATCCCGTCTTGGCTGGGAATGGCAGAAAACACAATACACATCATGTGGGACAATCTCCTTCTTTCAAGAAGCATGTCATTGGCAAAAAAAAAAGGTATCAATCTATTTTCTATATTTAATTTTCTAATTTAATCCATCCATTTTCTATTCGGCTCATAAAGGCTCCAGCCCCAGGCTCCATGTCAGTGCTTTTATTCATCCCCCTCTGTCTGTCCTCCTGTGCACATCAGATTGGTCCCAGAGTGACACATACAAACCAACAAACATCCCCGTCCCATACCAGCGTTTAGGCACTAGTTTATCGTTTATTAGTGGTCATTTGTTGAATTTGGTTCCAGAACTCCGTAATTTTTTTATGGCATTTGTTGATACAAAGATCTCACTGTTAATGGTTGAGCCCAAACGCCATCTTTTACCTTAAAATATTCTTTTTTTTTTTTGTTGGACATTTCTTAAATATTTGAATCTTGTTGTGTGATTGTCTTCTCATTTAACAACTATTTGCACACAGTGTTTTATAGTGATAAACGGCTCTCCATTCTTGTCAAAAGACAAAACCTCTCCAAAAGCAAGCCTGCGATGTTCCCCCTTCTAAAGAATGCTATTACTGACCGAAACCAATCTGTTAAATCTGCATTACTCTGCAAATGAGGTCATATGCATCTGCTGCCAGGGTTTGGGCCCGCAGCTTATTGTGCCCGATATTCTTTTCACTCTTAAGCTCGGAGTATTCAGCGGGATGCGCACGTCTGCTGACGGCAAAGAAAATCAGACACCACCAGCCTCTGTCCTGTTTCACCAGTCCTTTCATCGTCTTCTTTCTCCACATCCCTCTTTGGAACAGTCACAGTTGGCACATTCCTTACTCCAAGCCTGCTGATGCTGTCCAAGTAACGCAGAAGTTGAGACTGCCATTTGTCTCTGAGATGCAGCACCTTCTGAGACTGTTTTAAACAGAGTGGTGGGCCCTCAGGGCCGTCGAGGCCTTCTCTACTGGCCCAAACAGATATTGCTTTTAGCCTAAAACAATATCTGATGTCTCCATCTGATGTTTATATTTTAGCCAAGAATACACATGAAATAATTAAAAAGTCTGCTTACTTTCATAGCTTTTACTACTCACACTCATTGAACTAATTCACACAGATGTCCAATCTTTGTCCATCTTTAGCCTTGATCTTATCTCATTAAGTGCTCCTTACCCAGAAGTTATACATTTACACTTTAGTGTCAGGCTTTGTTGAAAAAGGGTCCTCATAATTCCTTTGAGGTGGCCAAATATTCAGGTCATGTAAGGTTATGCCAGTGGTTCCCAAACCCCACACTTTTCTATGGTACTGTCAAATTATATAGGTAGAACTAACCAATTCATCTTTGTTCTGAAAATTCTTCACACAAAAAACTTTATTGATACTGTTCTAAAATGTAATTACACATTTGGTAATTTTTTAGTTTTGGAGGACAATAATCATTTTGATGATCTTCAGTAAAAGTTGCATTTGTGAGGCATTTTGTTTCCAAACTCTTCAAACCTATTTCGGGAAGAGAAAAAGTTTGAGAGCAGCTCGGTTGAGAAATGATTCTAAATTTCCCCTAGGAGAGGATATGTGCATGTGGCTGTTTGTCTCTGTGGGGATCTTTCCATAGTGTACCCCACTCTATCAATGTAAGCGAAAGGTGTCGCCCCAATCCCGCATGTGCACACTCGTTCCACCCGGACACGTGCGTGCCAAAGCCCGGGCGCCATGGTAACCATCAGCAGGCTTCTGACACTTACTGCGATGCTCTGCTGTCACCTCCCCCTCCTCCCCCTCACCAGCTCATCAGCAGACTGCTGAATGTGACGGGAAGCTGGCTCGGATTTAAATAACACGGGACAAAGACGCTGAACAAAAACACTTCTCTGTCAACAAGAATATGTCGAAAATGACAGAGACAGGAGTAGTTTGCCTGAATCGCAAACAATAACATCGAATCCAATCAGTTTGGGTTTTGTTTCATGAAAGGTTTCCAACCAAGTAAGATGATGAAATGCAGTGGTTAAAAAAAAATGCTGAGTAAAGAAGCTTGAGTGCTTCTTCACTGCAAAAATATAACTCCCTTTTAGGACAAACTTTTTTTTTCATTAGATTTAATCTCCGTGTAATTCCCTGTGGTTTAGGAATCACTGGATTATCCTTTCTGAGAGGAAAGCAGATAGTTCTGCTCTAAGTTTCTTGCTGTGGTATCTTTTGGTGCATCTGTTTTAATATAGTCGTACGAAGCAGATTTTTCACAGATTATATCAGGATAATGTAGTCATCTTATGATATCTTCTACTTTTCTAGCTACTTGTACATGACCAAAATTGACAATTACATCATTTTACTATTTTATATAAGATGTTTTTTATATTTTGTTTTCATTTTTTTTAATACAAAATGTAGAATAAACTGCATGCTTTTTGGAATTTTCAAGTTATTGTACTTTTAACTGCTACTGAGTCGAAGTACTTTGAATTGCATAATTGTCCTCGTAAATGCTATGAATTTGTATTTTGTCATACATCATTGTCCCAGTAATGCTCTTAACACATATGCATATGTTTTCATACTCAAAGATGCTCTGTTGCATTGTTCGAATTAATGCATTTAACCTATTACCCCTTTTTATGATGTTACCATCTATTCCGTCCCCATCAGTTCCCTAATTAAGTTCTGTTTTCTCTCTCTGCTAGCGTGTCTTTGCTCTTTCTTTACATCCCTGATGCTCTGCACTGAAATTGCAGGACTTAAGGGGATGTGTGTGCACTAAAGCTGCATGCGCGTCAGCTAATTCCGATAACTTTGTCCAAACAATATAACCTTCACAATATTGCAGGTGAGGAAAAGAAAAGGGCCCTTTTTACTATATTTGCACCTGGCTCCCCTTTTGTTGTGCTATAGTTCAACAGTGTGCTATTAAACCCAAAATAGATCTAATTCTGAAAACTAAAGATCATAGATACTTTTCTGTTTGGTTTCCAATAGAATTTGCTACCCAACATCCATTAGAATCAAGCCACACCTACCTTTAGTATGTGGTAGATCATCCACATAGAAATCATATCCAGGAGAACAGCCTCAAAGTACCCCAAACTGCACAGACATCAGAACTATACGCCACCACGACAACAAGTCTCTTTAAAGGGAGGTAACGGAGTGGATCGAAACTTTGATAGCTAGTGTGTTAAACTGACACATACACAGAAAGTATTGGCAGAACTGTCACTAAGATGAGGCTGAGCGGGATTAATCCTCCCTCAGGCTGTTTCCTAATGGCAGACCCACACACGGCGTGCACGCCCCCATGATGCAATGCGAGCCATAACTTGGACCCAAAAATCAAACGGCAGCTGTTTTTACACATGTGTAACTTCAATGT